GTGGTGGATTTTTTTTCTTTCTTATTTTTCAGGTAGTTGGGACAATACAGTATTATGATTTTGAAGTGTCTAGCTCTGTGCAAGACAGGGGCTTTCATTGTTTATATTAATAAGGCAGTAAAACTCTAGTTCAAAATCTTCAGCTGCGGTGAATCATTCAGCATGAGTGCATATCTTGCAAAACGCCATGCAGACCTTTCAGTGTTTTGTAAGTCACCAGCAGTACATTGAGCTGTGCCTAAAAGCTGACAGAGGACTTGGGAGGACTGAAGTGCAGTATGTGTTTGTAGTCATGTATGTAGCATTACCTTGAATTTCTGTGTGAATTTGAGGAGTGGCCACAGGAAAGCATATGCTGAAGCAGTCTAATGTAGATGTATAGGGAAGAAAGGTATGGTGTTAGTTAAATACCTGCATTCTTTTGTTCTTTCTTAGCTGTAGTTAGTCTGCTGATCTAACCGTCAAATCTGGAAGCTAGAGGATAGTAAGAATCTGAGGCTATGTATTGTTATTAAAGATCTGGGGATGCTCTTCAAAGGAGGTACAGCCAATGTCTTTCTCCTTTAAAATAGGCTTTATATTATCCATTAACAGAGACCTTTAGGCTTAGCTTGCAGAAAGTAAAATCTTACCAGTATAAAAGGTCCCTTAAAGATAATCTTCTGTAGTCATTGATAGATATCTTAAAATGTAATTTTTTTTCATTTTGATTTTTAAAAGCTAGAATCTTCAGCAGTGTGAATTCATGCCAAAGAGTCCATATCCAGCTTTTAGATAGTATTTTAATGTTAATTAATATTTATCATTATATTATATTTGGCGGAGAGAGAGTGAAGGTAAGGAGGGACAATGATTATGATGTAAGTGATGTAAGAGTAAAGAGTGAGAAGAAGAAAAATAATTCAGTGTTGAAAAACTACTGTATCAGTACTTTTTATTCTCAGATCCTTCCTCTTCTCTTGCCAACTGCCTGCACATTCCTTGCACAGCTACACTGTAGTCAAAGTGTAATTTAAATGCAGTGTCTTAGTCATTACCTGCTGGTAACACAGCTGTGCAGTCCCTATACTCTTCAGCAAACATGTACAGCTTTTACCACCCATTTATTTTTTTTATTTCTTATATCTTGAAATCATTGCTTTGAATGTATCATATGTCCCTGCATAAGTATTATGTAGGTTGTCTAGTTACCATGCAGTTTATGAAAATTTCCAGTCCTTAATTTTGTTGTTTTGCTTATTTCTTAACATCATACTTTTTAAGGTACTGGTGTTAGGTAATAATGTATTGCTATACCAAAGATTTCACGGGGTGGGAGCTCAAATAGGACCTCTGTTCCTATCAGGTGTTTTGACAAACATGTTTCTTTGAGGTACTGAAAAACAAATCATCACCGCTGTGAATTTTGGTTGCATGTCCTAGGGAAAAATTGCTTCATTCTGTTCATAAAGATAAGACAGTATGCTGAAAAATTCAGGTTTCCCATGACTAGTTCTAAATGATTGATTATGAAAGGCTGAAGAGAGTAAATAAGTTCTTCAGTAATTTAGAGGTTAGGGTAATTTGCAGCATTTATGAGAGATGTCTGACAAATTTAGGGCATGTCTGTGTTTTGTGTTTGCATAGCTGTGTGTGCAGATCCACCTAGTGGTGGTATGGCAGAAACTACAAGAAATTTTTTTTTGCCTGCCAGCTTTTCTTTCCCAGATTGTGTTAGCTAAGCTGATAGAGGTGCCCTTCCACTAGCAAAAGGTTGTTTCTGGATTTGATTTGCATCGCAGTAGCAGCTGCAAGGTGCGGTATCTTTCATAGTCCTCATTGGCGTATATATGCCAATAGAACTGGGTAGATTAGGTCAAACCTTAGGTTAGGATAATTGCGTCTGGCAAGAATAAGAAACAGAACTTAGTTTATACCATTTGCAATTTAAAGTAAATTACATTCAGAATGCACAACCTGAAAAATGTTTTCACTTTTATCTTCCTTCTGCAGGAATGAGCTGGAACGCCAGTTTCTTGAGCTGTTGCAGTTCAATATTAATGTTCCCTCCAGTGTTTATGCCAAGTATTATTTTGATTTGCGTTCCCTGGCAGAAGCGAATAACCTGAGTTTTCCTTTGGAGCCCCTCAGCAGGGACAGGGCATATAAACTTGAGGTAAGACTTTTTTTTAGATTGCTTAGAGTTGAATATGTAGGAGGATTTGGAATTTTTGCATTGTTTCTCCCTTTGTCCCATCTCTTCCAAAATGTTCCTGTGAGATATTAGAATATCATGTGCCCTGGTGTTCATAACTGTTTTGTTTGTGCTTTGGGTATTCATGGATGTGGGGACAGCTATTTGGCCCAATTTGCTTCACACCTTGTCTTGCTTTCCATTTCTTTTTCAGTTCCAGTTGTCTGAATTGGCCTTGTGAAACTACCCACAAGTTTTACAATGATTCTGTTCACAGTCTGGTTTTTGTGTTCGTTTGGTTTCTTAAAACTGATTATTCAACTTAAAGGACAAAATATTAACAAGTGTTGCTGAAAATAACTATTCCATGTGCTTGTTGTCTGCTACTGCTCCACTTCAAATGGATCCAAGTGTGTTATCTCCCATGGTGTTTTTCTCAGTAATGGGAAAACAGAAGCGAGCACACATCTTTAGTGAATAAATCATGAACGCTTATGAGACCTGAATATACCGTGTGCACAAATCACTCTGTCATATGATCTGGACCTGTGAAATGCAGGGCACTATGAATTCCTGCAGACACAAGAAGAATTTAAAATCGTCAGACAATTGTGGGCACTTTGCAAGACTGGAATCTGTTGTTCTTGAGCTTTCTGATATGAGGTTTTTCAAATAAGGGCATGAGTGTATATACATTTTGTTACTAATTTTGAAATCTGTCATTAGATGCTGGCTGCTTTTAACATCACACATCTTTAAGTTATATAAGAGCTTTGCACTGGAGGTTGCTTGCCTGTGGGTTAGAGTGAGCTGTACATGTTCTGAAACTCCTAGTGCTTCTGTAAAACAGGCAGGCAGTACTATACACGTTTTTGTGGGGGGAAATGGTGTGTGGGAGGGTTAATTGACTTGTTTGTGACTGTAATTGGAACAAAGTGGTAGAGAAAGAATCAAAGCGGATTTCGCTAAAGTTGTATTTCTCATTCTTTCTAAATTTCACAGATAGCTGCAATAAGAATGTAACTTCATTCTGTGTGTGGAGTGTGATGTAAATTTGCATCAGATTTTGTTTGTATTGAAGAGAATTTTAAAAAAATTAAAATTAATTGGGATTGCAATCTTATGTTGATAGTAAGTGCCATTACATATATTGAAATTGAGTGGATTACTTTTTGAAGATAATTTAGTACACAGTGTTTCCCAACACTGTCAGTCTATATCACACACAATGTGTAACAGAGGGTTACAAATGAAGGTAACAATGATAGCTCCTAAAACCTTAGAAGAAAAGAAAATAGGAAATGACTGTAAATACCCAGAGAATGTTAGTTCTTCTGTGCTAGCTAAAGGGAAGGCGTATTTAAAAAGAAATAATCTTTCAAGGTCCCTTCCAACCCCTAACATTCTGTGACTCTGTGAATATTTTTTTCAATAAATCCATATAATTAAAAACGTTCACGTGTTGGGGATGCTTGGGGATGCTGGCAGAAGTTGGCTGTAATGTAACCCCTGCTAGCCAAAGATGCAGTCTTCAGGGTAGAGGATCTGCTGTGAAACCAACTTGGTCTACCAGCCACTTGCCTCTATTCTGTAGCCAGAAGGAAGGGAACATGATGGGAACTGCCTTGTTCCCTGGCAATACTTGGTTATCATTAGTGTGCCCTTGGAACTAGTTGACAGCATAATTTATAGCCTAGTTTCTTGAGCACAGTTAAGCATTTAGCTTGCCAAGGGTTGTCAAAATGCATTTACAGCACTTTCCTAGGTCTCTGATGTGCTGTTCAGCCCAGAGTTCTCTGTTTTTAAAACTGTTGCCTGGATTGTCAAGTGGAGTAGATGTAGTACCACACAGGCTGTGATATTTTTAATACTGAGAGAAGAGCTACAGTCTGAGATGAAAGACAGCAGACTCATAGGGAATGCATGTGTGCAGTGGAATGATTTGCCTTGTCTGGTAAACTGGAAGGGCCTTGCTCAGTCCTAAGATTTAAAACGACCAACTTACTGACATTTGAGATCACAAAAGGTCTTGCATAGAGAAATGGTTCTATTATAACACGTTTTTGCTACTTCTGTATTTTCAAGCTATTTTTTGTATCTAAAGCAGGAGTATTAGATCTGGCATGGCAGAATCTGCATTGCTATTTCTGCAGGTATCATGAGGTTGAGATACCTGTGATGATGAAAAAAAACCCCAAGAAGACCAAGGACAAGGCTAGTAAATACTGTTCCTCATCAAATGGAAATGCTGGACAAGATCCGTCAGCTTAGAGGTGTTATAAGAGGTTATAGTAGTTGTTAAAAATGACAGTGTTTTCTGGAGCAGCTGCAGTGGATGCTTTTTCCTTATTTAATGTTCCTGCAATTGACACTTAAGAAGCAGCTTTGTCTTAAATTACTAAAGTAAAGTAACTTTTACTTACTTTCCATCAGCCTGTGGCCTGGAAGTGTTCTGAATTTGTTATACCAGTCCACCTAGTAGCCAGAAACCATTTTCATGACCCCTCCTTTTGTTTTTTCCCCAATTATATGGAATCATGGAAGTTAAAAATGGCGAATAACCTTTCATTAGATCATCCAGTCTGTCCACCTGCCGATGCTGTTTGTTCCAACCAACATGTGTTGTAGTATGTTTTCTCCTTCCTTTTAATTATGTCAAGTGTCAAGGCTTCCTTTGCTTCTCCTGAGAACTGTTTTCTAATATGGGAGATTTTTCTGCCAAGAAGGTTGTTGGATATCCAGCCTTAATCCACTATTTTGTAATTTCCTATTCTTGCACCTGGTTATTCTCCTGTGTACTGGCCTAAATATCAGTCAGATTCTGCTCTTTGGGGTAAGTCCACAAAATGTGCCTACCCTATTTCTGCTTGTGATCTTAGCACTGTGTTTGTTTCAAGGCTAGATTGTATAAGAGCGTTTGTTAGTGCACTCTCATTTTTTTTTTCATGTTTTCCTTATATAGAACCCTTCCAGACTTAAGTGTTGTTTGTCCCTGCTAAGTTCTCTCTGGTTTGTCTATTTGCTGGGGGTGTTGCAGCACTCGCAGTTGTCTGCCTTTGTTCATCCCCAGCAGTGAAGCCGTAGCCAGCCCTGGTGCTTTCCTGCCCTGCACAAACATGTACATGCAGCCCAAATTTATATTACTACTGCTACTGCCTTTCTCCCCACTCCTTTCTCCTTACGTCCCCCCCCTTCACCAGTGACAAGGTCTTGTCTAGAGTCATACAACTCAGCAGAGGAACTGACTCCTAGTTCTGTATGTGTGTGTGTGTATATATATGTGTATATATATATATATAAAATGGAAGAATGTAAATTATGCATTTTTCTAGCCGATTACAGATATTACAGTCAAGTCCAACAAAATTTCACATGCTTGAATTAGCATTGCTGCTCTGATTTCATATGAGAAATGGTCCTTTGCAACAGTCAAAAACTTGTTTTCTTTTTCTAGCAATAAAAACAACAGAAATACCAGATGACATAAAGGTGTTTATAAGCTATTTAGATTTATTTTAACTGAAGGACAACAGTAAATATTTACAATTTTCTGATTCTGTCTTGTTCCCCCATATGTTATGCTAAAGTTGACAAACTTGCCAAATAGGCTCCAAATGCCAATTTGGTAAATTATTTGCAAACAAAGAGGCATTTTTAGATACAGGATTGCTTTCAACAGCAGACAGTGTGTTTCTTACCCATGTGATTGATCACCAGAGACTAGAGATGCCGAATATTAAGTGCCACTTCCAAGCAAGATTTCATTTTGCCTAACCAAGTGCCAGAACAGAAATTTTCCTGTGCAACAGGCAATTTTGAAGTGATTACCTTCTCTGGGTGTTTGATGCCTAAGGTAATAGCCTGATCTGGCAGCTGGAAGAAGCTGAGCTCCACCTCAGTATGGCTATTTTCCAAGCCATGTCTTGGCACACTATTTAATGATTAAATGCCTTCCATCTATTGGATTTTAAATCTGATTGAATTGCATAAACTTTCATAGTCCATTGAGTTCCTGGTTAAATTAAATAAAATGTTATTTTTAAGTTTTAAGTGAGTTAAGTTATGGTCTACAAAGCAACAGGAATATTTGCGTTATTTTATTTTGTTGTTCTCTTCATGTGCACCAAGAAAGAATACTGTGTTCCAGAATGGTCTTAACAGAAGGAAATTCAGTTTCCAACTAAAAAGTAGCAGTTGGTTTCTTGTTGTTGTTGGTAGGTTTTGTGTTGTCCTGGGTTTGTTTTAATTAAACTATGTTTTGTGGCTGGCTTGACCAAAGCATTAGGTGAGCTTGCTGTCAGATGTATGCGTTGCGTCCTTCTGGCATACCTGCCTGTAGTCTTTGCAGGACTATTAAAGTTAAAGGGCTCTTCACTGATACAAGTTGCTGTGCTACAGAAGTAAAGATCAAGAAAAAAAATTAAGATCAGTGGAGTCAGGCTGTTTATTTGTATTGCCTTGTTTTGTGATCGAACACTTGTACTGGTTTTGTTTGTACAGTACTTTTTATTAAACATCCTATCTTAAGACACCACTTAAAAGCATTCCTAGAGTAAATAAAAATACTGGTTTAGTTCATCTTATTTTTTAATTTGACCTTGAGTACTCCTTGCAGTGAGCTTTCTCTACAGTTCTGTGTGTTTGATCACCGGAGTTAACATTCCTACTGATGCGAACCATAGCCTGTCCCAACTGTATGAACTCCAATGGAGAGGCTATTTTAGGGCACAGTATATTTGTGCATATGAGGTCTATAATAAATATTTGTTTTAAACTTGGCTAAAAACAGTAGAAGAAACATAAAACGTTAACTCCACTGTAGTATAATAGGAGTCGACATTTGAATAATGTTTGCTGCTCTCTTTAAAAGGTTTTTAATATTTTAATGTATCTTTAATGCAAATTAATTTATTCTGAATATGAGTTACGTTTCCCACTGGCACCATATAAGAGAGCCTGATCGCATAGAAATCACTGTTTCCTTCCAAAAGGCAAGTAAACGTCAGCTCTGTAAGCAAAGCAGGGCAAGTATTCTGCCAGACCATTTATAGGTGGAGAAAAATGCAGTTACTACCAGACTTTTCAGGAAATAAAATGTCAAGAGCCATCCTTTTTATAAATTCTCCAAATATGCTTACAATTTCTATAATTGTTTTAAGTTTCCATAATTTTTCACCAATGAAGTGCTATATATGAGTTACCATATAGCAGTGGGTAAGCATTGTCAGCTACGACGATGAGATTTGTAATGGTTAACCCGTGAAGAAAAGGCTTGGAATATGCTGAGAGAGATCTTCAAAAGCAGCTGTGGTGGGCAGTGCAATGGCAGTGTGTTTCTTTTAAGATGAATGAAATGAGAAAAGAGGATCTGGGGAGAAGCTCTTCAAGCGTTTTGCTTGATGAAGTGACTCTTTGTAATTCTACCTCCATGTAGAAATCTGCATTTAGTTTTATTTTACCTGTACAGCTTTGGTCAATGCAGTTGAGGTTTTTTCATTCTTTTGTCTTACAGGCCATTTCCCGCTTGTGTGAAGATAAATATAAGGACTTCAGGAAAGCTGCAAAGAAACGGTCAGTCAGTGCTGACAATCTGACTGTGGTTAGATGGTCCCCTGCTATTATCTCCTAACAGAGGAGACTGGAATATTCCTATGGACGTACTGTTTCATCCATCCATTTTTTTTTGGGGTGGGCTGGGGGTGGGGGGATAAAGAAAAAAGACTTTTGATTTTTTTATTTTTAAATCTGTCAAGCTGCCTTTACAGTGCCTCCCCATTGTGTAGCACACGAGTAAAATATGTAGTGGAAGGAGAAATGGAGAAATAGGTGTTTGGGAGAGAAGATGGGCAACGTTTTTTTTTCCTCACTTTCGCTAACAGCTTTACCCTTTTTATGAGGAAACAGCAAATCAGATGCTTCAAAGAAGAAACAAAAAAATGAAGTAGAGGCAGAAAAATATTTAAGAACTGTGCCATTTTCTGATATGCTGTACTCATGAGGAGAAATGGCAGCATGAAAATAAACCATGTGGTCAGATGACTGCACTAGAGGAATGAAGTTGGGAGAGTTCCATCTTAAAGGTTTCTCTTAATATCTTTTTTTATTTTTTGTTGGGTTTTTTGCGTTCCTTGTTGCTGCTTCCCAGAATAAATTCTTCCCCTTGCACAGCAGCAAACGTGAAGTCTGTATTTACAGTAGCACAAGCCCCTGAATAAATAGCGTTGGGTTTTTTCACTGCACTTTTCTCTGTAAGCTGTCTTATTAGCATTATTCTTCATAATTATTATGCATATGTTATTTCTTGTATGCCTTTTATTGTATTTCAAAAGAGAGAACTTGACATAGTGCTGAACCAAAAGCGTGTACAGGGATCAGAAGATCTTCATAATTTCATGATGTGTTTTATTTATAGTATACTTGGGTGCGTGTGCCTTCCTGAGTTCTTGGAATCACTTATTTTTCCTTAATATAAAGATACAGTTACTAAAGTATTCAGATGATGATGATAAGACTTGGGCCAAATCAGATTTTCATAGCATTAGAAGTTTAGCAGATTCTTCTTTTTTTTTTTTTTTTTTAATGGCCTGACTAGTTCATTCCTTCACCTCCAGGTCCATTGTTGCAAGCAATATTCTCAATTTTTATATGTTTACTTTAAATCAAAGTGAGTCTCTTTGTATAAAATAAAAAATAATAAAAAAATTTATTCCAGTGAGAAGGCCTGTAGAAGAGCAGAATGGAAATCTTAACAAGGTATTTGTCACAAGTAGATTGGATTTTGAAGCTAAAATATAAACCCTTGTGGTTTTCAGCGTAGGTGCTTATAGAAGTTAAAAGTAACCGAACTGTGAACGTAATTTTCAACTCTGATTATTAAGCTCTTCTGTTGTTACTAGTTCCCTCTTACTGTGGCTGTTGCCCCCTTGGAATTTGTAAGAACCTTGTATAGAAAATAACTTGTCAGTATAAGCACATTTGCTTTATAATGCCCCAGGGTGATTCCCCCCCCCCCCCTTTTTTTTTTTGCTTTTTTTTTTGGCTTTTTTTTTTTGGCTTTTTTTTTTTGCACAGTTTAGAAAGAGATAGCTGAAAACTCTCAGTTCCCTGAAATCCTTTCTTTGCGACTATCACGGAAGTGAATGGCAACAGACGTCCCTGATTATGCACTACTGTGGTAGACCATAAAGATTCCGTATTTGTTTTATTAAGCCCTATGGGCTTGTAGCAAACCTAGGGGCCCAGAGATGCGCACTTGACTTCCAGTGCAATGCTAATCGGATGCCTCCGGCGGAGAGGTGCTGAGAGGATTGAAGTAGTAATACCAAACAGTTTTCTGTTAACTTTCTAGTGTGATCTGTGTAGTTCAAGACATGAAGGTTTTGTCCATAAATTCTCCTGATGTCCTTTGGGCCTTTAAAATAATCTAATTCTCATCACTTCTTGTTGTGCCAATGCATCAGAACTGTGAGTATCCAAGTCTGTTTCTCCCTTGAACGTGGAATGTAAGAAAAGTGTTTATAACAATACAAATGCAAATCACAGCATTTAAAACCTCTTTACAAATAGTATCAAAAGGAACATTTTTGGAGCGTTTGAAATCCATCCTTTATAAGCATAAATTTAGGCTTTAAAATATGTAAAATATTTTGATTTATCAACACTTTGCTAAACTATTTTCCATTTAACTTGATATCAGGAATATTGGTTTTATCCATTTCTGGGTGATAGAGATATGAACTTTGGATTATGTAAAGATCTCAATGCATCTACTATAATTTTTGTGAAGTTTATTAAACTACTTTAAAGATTGTATAGTCTATTTATTGTATGTATGTACATACAGTCTGATACTTTAAAAAGTGGATTCCGTAAAACCTGGCTCGGTCTTGTTTAGACTATTGAATATCGTTTTAGCCTTGTGCACTGGACTCTACCTCTGTATAGGAGAATTTTCCATATTCTTAATTAGTACTGATTCTGTGATTAACTTGGTTATGTTTCTTGCACTAAGAATTAAAAAAAAAAAATCTGCTGTAAGTGTGGGTTTTTTCTTTAAAGTTTTGCCGTATGAATCCTCTACATTTAGATGGATGTTTCTTTCCCTCATGGTTATAGAATAATTCTTTGCTTTTTCTTCTGGTTTGTTTCAGTGTTGCCAAAAAAATACAGTACTTGTCATTAAATCTTCATGAGTGTCTTTTGTTTGCAAGGTATTCTATACCATGTAATTAAAAATGAATTATTATTTAGGATTATGTTGTGTTTAGTGTAGTTTTTTAAGCATTACTGTATGGAAAATGCCATTGGAAGGTTAGAGAATCACCTGGGATGTGAGAAGGGAGGAGAACCAAATAGTGTTCTAATTAACAGCACAAATATATTGTGTTTTTCATTTCAGAACCTGAAACTAAATTTGCTGTAAATGTTTTCTGGATTAAGGTTTTCATTATTGCTTCGGTCACCAGCTCAGAAACGAAAAAGTGTAGGAGATGTAATAAACCTGTCCCTTCAAGCATCATTGTCTTAATGAATTATTTTTACATGTTGTGCCAGTGTTTCATTTTTTGTTCATAATTAATTTTTGGTAGTGATATATATAATTCTGACAGACACTGTTCTTTGAAACTGGAAACACTGGAGTCATGCGATGAAGTGCAAAAGAAGAAAAAAGTCAAATCACATTTTCCACCTTCCACAAACCCTGTCAGTCTTTCAAATGATACATGTTTTCTGTTGCTAAAAACATGCAAAATCCTGTCCCATAGCAGGGTAACAGTATCCTTTTCAATAACGGGGGGTTTTAAATTTATTTTTATCTTTTTTGAGAACGAGAGATATCAGCATGTATGGCTCAGTTTCCCTTAGCTTATTTAGCTTAGTTATCATGTAAACTAAAAACACGATGGAAGAACTGTTTACACTTATGGAGTCTTAGGTCAGACTTTGTTTTTTAACACCTCTTTCTATGCTGCCTAGCTTTCCTAATGCCAGAAACCTTAGATGTAACCTAAGGATTAGAAGTAGCAAAAACCTCATCAGGAAAGGATGATGGTGTATTGGTGGCAGATGACAAAAGGACATCTGGTAGTGTTGGCTAGATATAAAAATAGCAGTTATGTGGGAAGGGCAGAGGAATTGAAAGGGCAGAACCAGAAAAAAAACAAAGCCTTAACAGCTGAAGCAACAAATTATTTACAGTCGTCCTTTGTTGGTAGCGAACATTGCATTTTCCAATGACGTGGTTAAGCTACTAACTCAAGTGCTGCACATCCACTGCAGATTCATATTGCTCTCTGCTTCTATGTGGTCTTCCCAAGGAATTCACTTGACCTAGCTTTTGGCACTTTCCTCACTTTCATTTTGAACACATTTCTGTAATCAGAATATTTTTTTTTTTACTTGAATTGACAGTCATTGAAAACATCTGCCTGCCTCTGTGGCAGTGTGCCCGCTTAGTCTCTAACAGGTTCTGAGAAAACAACTCAAATATAAACACAAACATACCTGCGTGAATGTGACCTAGATGTATATGGAAGTGTTAGTGTCTGCACCCAAAGTGCTGTTAAGTGTCTGTCTGCGGTTTCTGGTTTTTTTCTCTTCACCGGAACTACGTCTTGAGGAAAGCAAAGAATTGACGAGAGTTCGAGTTGTGTAAACTAAAGGTAATGACGGAAGATATGTGGTGACCACTGCTAGGAGAAAAATGCTTTAAAAAAGGAAACAAGATTTAGAAGAAAAGCTGCTGATCGTAAGGAAACTTAGTCATAGCAGACATAGATTATGGTGCTGAAAATGATTGTTTCATGGTGTGTGTGAACCTGTTTTTCTGGGTCCTCTTACGAGAATCCACAAAAGGTGACTGGTGAATCCCAGAACCACAGCTTGAAAGTGACTGAATGTGTTAGCCAAGAAAGCCATGCTCGAGTTTGCCTCTTTGCCTGGGCTGGTCATCAGGCTCTTCCCATTAAAGAAAGAAGCCGTAGGATGGTAGATTGAAGAAAGACAGGTGACCGAGCAGTACAAATAGATTGAATTTCTTGTGTTCCTTCTAGAATGGTTGGTCTGATGCAATTTGCTGTGAAAGAGTCATTTTTTTCATGCCCTTTACACCATATGTAATGTGTTTTGGCATTATCGGTGGAGACTTTCACCTGTTACAGCTGGAGATACTCTTTGGCGATGATAGGCCAAGCATGCTTCTTGGTTGGTGATAGGTGACAGTAAACCTGTGTTTCCTGTATGAGTTGTCCAGAAACTCCGTAGAGTTTGTAAAGCTCGCTCAAGGCACTGGACAGTACCTTTTGCGAAGATGTCAATGGTCTCTACAGATTAACAGCAGCAAATAAGAACAAAATGTCGAAAATTGTATTTGTGAAATACCATTTCACAGTGTACTTACATAATTTACTTACTCAGTGTACTTAGATAATTCAGTTTCAGACCTTTTTTTCCTCGCATCTCTGGCACTTAGACTGGGATGCTATGGTAACTAATGCAGTAAAACTTTGAAGCTAGAAAATTTTTGGAACTGGCACTACTGCCCCTTTTGAATTCACTGGCGGCAAAGCACATCCTCAAGAGGCAGATGAAGACTTAGGCATGTGACATGCGGGCTTTACTAACCAGGCCTTGGAGTAAGACACCTTCATGTAAGAGATGCTGCAGCACACTTGAGTCTAGAGCTAATTCTTCTCTCATC